AGTACGACATGGTTGAGAGTATAATGGCATGAAGATAGATATTTGAATCAGAAGATGTCAGATTGAATCTAATTTTTGAATAAACGTATAATTTCTGTTCTGTTTCTGTTAATAATAATAATGAGATACTATCTCAGAGAAATGACCAATAGGCATCTCATTTCATGAGATAATATCTCGTATGAGATACAAGATTTTTTTTCTCAAGAGTGACATAAATGGGCTTCCATAAGATTGTGTTACACAGATTACACTCTTAAAATAATCAAATCTCTACAGTAGAATGTCTGAACATAAATAATCTTAAAGTATATTTCTGCCTGACATCAAATTACCTTTGTCCTCTCAGGAAAGGACCATCGATCTTCCCATTTAACCTTCATTTTTGTCACAAAATGGAGCTCAATGTTGAGGCGGCCACTGAGTGCAAGGTGTAATTTGTGTTCTGAAGGAGGTTTAGGCCAGTGATGTGGTCCTGTTCTGAAAAATATGACAAATATTCTTACTGAACTTCTTCACAATAAACTCAAGAATTAATTGGATTACTCAAGATTTGTTTTAATGAGGTCACAGTACAGGATGACAGAAAAATCCCACATTTCATCCCCCTTAAAGCTATGTGTTGCATTTCATTCCCTAAAGGCAACAAGCCTAAGACTTTCTTTGTGAAGCAGGCTTTTTATTGGCTTAATTATGTCACCACTAATCAATGCAGAATTTTACCGCACCCTGATGTCTGTGGATGAGTTTCCAGTCTTTAATCTGAAAATGATAGGCCTGTGGAGCCTGTCTGGAATACGAGACCTGTGAGAGCAACCCAGGAAAAATAAAGATTTTGAAGATTTGTGATGATTATGTGCTCATCCAAACATTTTGGTTATAAATGTACAACCTTCTTAGTTTAGTTGTAAAATATCTTCATGAATTTGTCTTGACTTTAGATTTCTAAATTTAATTACACTTATGTTCCCCAGTACCTATATTCCCTGGTACTTCTGTTTCCTGGTACCTATTTCTTAGTACCTCCCCAATACATATGTTTCCTATAGTACCCATGTTCCTAATACCTACGTATATGTTTCCTAGTACCTATGTTCCACATTACCTATGATTCCTGGTACTTCTTTTTTTCAGGTAATGATGTTTCCTGGTACCCGTGTTCCCTGATATCTATATATTTTAAAGTACCTATATTCCCTGGAACCTGTCTCTTGGTACCCATGTTCCAATACTTCTTTTACCCGATATCTATGTTCTCTGGAAACTATTTTTCCAGGTACCTATAGTATGTCTTGGTACCTATGTTCTCTGGAACCTGTTATCCGGTCCCTACGTTCTCCAGTAACTTTGTTTTCCTGCAGTTAATAATGAAAGTCATGAAAATTGGTTGGCTCTCTTTTCAAATGCCTTCAAACAATTTAACGTGTTGTATGCCGTGACATATGTATAACGTTAAGCAGGTTTTAGTGGTGAAAATTTTACTGCTTTTACACAAAAATTTAGACAACTTAAGTCATATCCAGTAAAAACAGGGACTGGTACACCTGTGCAGCTAGCCCATAATCTGGCTTTGATTTGGTCATATCTTCCCAACAGAACCTCACTTCAAAACATACAAACGATTCGTTTACCAACTATTGAACATATTAATATTTAAACAAAGGTTTTCAAGTTTTTTTTAACAAAACACAGGACATTCAAGTTTATGAGAGAATATTATTTAAAGCCCCTGCAGTTCCAAACAGAACCATGAGGCCATTAAACCAGCTCAACATTTGTCTCCATCTGCTGGTTTAATGATGCCAACGCGTTCATAACTCAAAAAAAAAAAAAAAAAAAATCCATTCCAAAAAAATCTTTTATTACATCTTTCAGCAATCCACTCATATACAATCCAACTTTATATTACCAAAATCATTGTAAATCTCATATCATAAATATATAGCAATCTCATATATACTTTTTTGTACACATTCATTGCAAAGGTCCATTTAAAACTTGTAAAAATAAAGTATTCAACCACCTCAAAATCTGAGAGGGTTAGAAAAATTCACCACATTGCAATTTTTATTTTATTTTTTTTAATATGAGCCCTTTTATCGTTTATTCAAAGGGCTTCTTTCAAAAAGGACAAATGTATTTGATCCTCTTTCCAATTAGTTATATTAACCATCCAGTCCATATACTGAAAAACAGTTTGACATTGCTGCTAATTAAAAAAAGGATATAAAAAGGCTTTATTGGCTGAAGCAGAAAGATACTGTATAAGTGCATTTAGAAAAATAAAACTTTTTGTTTATTTAAAGGTGGAGTGTGTCTGCCTGGCTAAGTGTGTGTAAAGCTAAACAGATGGTTTTGGTCAGAAAAGCAGCACAAAGATTACCAGGAAGACATAAAAAAATTCTCTTGTGCTTATTTTGCCCTTCATAAGGCAGTACATTTTTTAACCAATGTCTCGAGGCTTTGTTCATCTCTAAAGTCTGTTGGCACAAAACTCCACACCCTTGAGTTTCTTTTCCCTGGTTTTGTTGCAGCTCAGTGCCAGTCTTCATCGTCATCATCCTCCACTTCAGAGGAGTCTTCCTGGTTGCTAAGCTCCGCCTGCTGCGCCGCTCCATTCCCACTTCCTCCCTGATCAGAGGCGGCGCCAGCGATGGCGGCGGCGGCGGCTGCCTTCCTGGCTCTGGCCTGAGCTGCCGCCCGCTCCTCTTCCTCCTTCTGACGCAGCGCTGCAGCCTTCTTCTCCTGCTCCGCATGACTTTTCATGTGGGCACTTCGACTTTTCACCTTATAAAACACCCTAAATGGAAATAAAACCATTGTCAAATTCAAGCATTTTATAGGTTTTATCCAAAGTAAACTCACATCAGCAAAAACTGAACATCCAGCAGCTGCTACGTGCATATTTCTAACAATTGGAGGCTTTTTCATGTAGTCAGCAAAATGCAAAGTGGCTTGTGCTGCCAGTGGTTGTAATATCAAGAATAATAAATGTGCAGCAGCAAAACCCACGACCGTTATTACGCTTTAAAACTGTTTGGGAAACCGTAAAAAAGGCCGTACCTGCCACATTTCTTGCAGGGAAACACGGCGTCGGGGTCCTGCGGTGGCTTCGCCGGTGCTTTGCCCTTCTTTGCTGCAGGTTCGGCCCGAGGCCTTTGAGGTCCAGATGAATGAGGCGGCTCTTTTTTCATAGCGTCCGGCTCTTTGATCACCACGACCGTCCCTGCCTGAAGAGGCGACAAAATGCAGCTGTGACACAGAAGCTACTCACATCTTCTGGTTACAGATTTGACTCAAGCGGTCACATTATGGCTTTACAGTGACCACGGTGGGTCCAAAAACACTCAAGAGTAAACTTTAAACCAAAGAAAAGCTCCTAAAATTCACAATGATGAACCTGGTGGGCACAGCTAATCTGCTAAACAAGAATCTAATCTACTAACCCTAAATCTAAACAGATAAAAAAAATCAGTGGAAGCTAACGCTAACTGCTAAAGGCCCCGTCACTATATTTTAGACAACTTATGCTGACTTGTAAAAATGTTAATATAAACAAATTCCTCATAAGTTATATGTTTAATCTAATCTTTAGCATTACAGCATTATATGGACAAAAAAGGCATCCATTAATGTTTTATTTTTATTTTATATTGAACATTAACGTCTTCAGTGTTGGATAAAAATGTCATAAGTTGGCATAAATTGTCCAAAACACAACATGACGGGGCCGTAGACGACACGTCTTCATCTCCTTCCAGTTAAAGACTGGTGGGACCGACACAAATTTATTATCAGTTTTCAATTGGTTTTGTCTAACTTGTGATACTTCCAACATAACCCTTTCAGAATAAAAGCTCATCTTTGATCAAGCTGGTATTTTTTTTTTACAAATACCGTTTGAAGTTAGTCAAACAAATACTTTCTCTACCATATTTTATTTACAGTAATTTTTTGTATTCATTATTTAAATATTGTTAAAAGATTTTTTTTGATGCATTTAGCTGCTAAAGACGCTACATGCTACACACACAGTGTCTGACACATCCAGCACTGCTTTTATGAAAGAATTGTTAATTTTTTTTTAATTTAACTAGGGACAAATGGCATAAAATAAAAGTTTTACACGTAAAATTAGCAGAACCTAATTTGTTTCCAAAGTTAGCAATTCACTTATTGAGATGCTAGTTCCATTATTAGCGGATTAGCAGAATTGTGCCCACCAACTGTAAAGTCAGAATTAAATTGAGGCCATCTTTGTTCTGATCGTGTTCAGAAGAAAGTATATTTTTCAGCGTTTGTGATCTGTGAGGTAGAGAATTAATCCATGGATGGGACCATGGGGTAAAACACTCACGTAGTCGTGAGCCTGTAGTGACTGAACAACCCTCGCCTGCTGGTTGCTCTCATGGCTTTCATCATAAAAACCTTCCCTGTTGTCATCTTCATTCACCTCTCCTTGAGTCAGCTTCGGTTGATGCGTCTGCAGAGAATCACGTCAGAAACATTTCTTTCTTAAAGGAAGACAAACTAATCCCATTTTCAACCAACTGTTTTCCATTTCCTATTAAAAATCACTTCCCCTCTACCTTTACATCCACCGTCGTCTCTGTGTGCTTCTCCACTGGTGAATCTGGAGGGCCATAGGTCAGGATGCCGTTTCGACCCACTTTCACCTGCTTCTTGTACGTGTAGTAGAACTCCACGCACTGAGCCACGGTCTTAGTCCGCACCTGAAGGACAAAGTGTCGAGTCAAAATGAGTCGTCGTTTTTGTCCCAACCACCAGAAACACCTGCAGGATAAAACAACTTTTTACCAGTTTCTGCACTAGGAAGAAGTCTTTCCTGTAGGCGCCGATCCCTTTATTGAAGTAACACTTCTCCTCTGCAGTCCAGCTGTCGGAGCCTGTGATGAACATTAAAGACAGGCCGATGTGGGGGGAACCAAACAAAACAAAACATAAAATACACAAAGAGAAAACGAGAAATGAAGTTATTTGTAATAATGTGGAATGGCACAGCGAAAAAGTATTGAACACGCTTACTGAAATGTATCTAATACTTTGTCCAAAAGCCTTTGTTGTCAATGACAGCTTCAAGACKCCTCCTGTATGGAGAAACTAGTGGCATGCATTGCTCAGGTGTGATTTTGGCCCATTCTTCCACACAGTCTTCAAATCTTGAAGGTTTCGTGGACC